TACACATAGACCCCCACTCTCTGTATAATACACCTAGACCCCCACTCTCTGTATAATACACATAGACCCCCACTCTCTGTATAATACACATACAACCCCTCCCTCACTGTATAATACACATAGACCCCCACTCTCTATACAGAACACATACACCCCCACTCTCTGTATAATAGACATAGACCCTCACTCTCTATACAGAACACATACACCTCCTCTCTCTGTATAATAGACATAGATCCCCACTCTCTGTATAATAGACATAGACCCTCACTCTCTGTATAATAGACATAGACCCCCACTCTCTGTATAATACACATACAATTAAACTCAACAAGACAAGACTAAAAAACCAAGGGGTGCTGGCGGCCTTGTTCAAAGAGCTTACAGTTTGGGGGTGATGGCATAGTTTGTACTATTAGGTGTATAATGGGGTAGGGCTGGGGTTCCCAGTCTGTAAACAGCATTTTTCTAATGGGGTGAAGGGGAAGCAGTAATTAGTAATTGGTTAATTATTGCTGAGAATTGGTGTTGGGGATGGAGAGTTGGGAAGATGATGGAAGGGGAATTTCATAGGAAAGGGACAAAGAGAGGGATAGAGCAAGACATGACCACATCTCTTTATTGTACCAGGATATCACAAGGAACCTGAGTAGGGACTCGCTGAGGGGGAGCAGATATCAGTAGCCCAGTCTGGCAATGGTGTTCATTATAAAAAATCACTTCTACACTAAGCAAATATCAATTAAACGTCTCTCCTTTTACTGCACCATCCGATAAACTATACCGTCATTGTTAACTATTCTAGCAAGCTATTTCCCCATCCATTAAATAATCCCACCCTTACCTCTCATGTCACTTTACCCCACTCCCTCTAACATGTAAACTCACTGAGCAGGCCCTCGATCCCTCTGTTACTGTGTCACTATACCCCACTCCCTCTAACATGTAAGCTCACTGAGCGGGGCCTCAATCCCTCTGTTACTGTGTCACTATACCCCACTCCCTCTAACATGTAAACTCACTGAGCAGGGCCCTCAATCCCTCTGTTACTGTGTCACTATACCCCACTCCCTCTAACATGTAAACTCACTGAGCAGGCCCTCAGTCCCTCTGTTACTGTGTCACTATACCCCACTCCCTCTAACATGTAAACTCACTGAGCAGGCCCTCAATCCCTCTGTTACTGTGTCACTATACCCACTCCCTCTAACATGTAAACTCACTGAGCAGGGCCCTCAATCCCTCTGTTACTGTGTCACTATACCCCACTCCCTCTAACATGTAAACTCACTGAGCAGGCCCTCAATCCCTCTGTTCCTGTGTCACTATACCCCACTCCCTCTAACATGTAAGCTCACTGAGCAGGACGTCAATCCCTCTGTTACTGTGTCACTATATCCCACTCCCTCTAGCATGTAAACTCAGTGAGCAGGGCCTCAATCCCTCTGTTACCGTGTCACTATATCCCACTCCCTCTAGCATGTAAACTCAGTGAGCAGAGCCCTCAATCCCTCTGTTACCGTGTCACTATATCCCACTCCCTCTAGCATGTAAACTCAGTGAGCAGAGCCCTCAATCCCTCTGTTACCGTGTCACTATACCCCACTCCCTCTAGCATGTAAACTCACTGAGCAGGACCCTCAATCCCTCTGTTACTGTGTCACTAAACCCCACTCCCTCTAGCATGTAAACTCACTGAGCAGGCCCTCAATCCCTCTGTTACCGTGTCACTATACCCCACTCCCTCTAACATGTAAACTCACTGAGCAGGACCTTCAATCCCTCTGTTACTGTGTCACTATACCCCACTCCCTCTAACATGTAAACTCACTGAGCAGGCCCTCAATCCCCTTGTTACTGTGTCACTATACCCCACTCCCTCTAACATGTAAACTCACTGAGCAGGGCCCTCAATCCCTCTGTTACTGTGTCACTATACCCCACTCCCTCTAACATGTAAACTCACTGAGCAGGCCCTCAATCCCTCTGTTACTGTGTCTCTATACCCCACTCCCTCTAGCATGTAAGCTCACTGAGCAGGGCCCTCAATCCCTCTGTTACTGTCACTATACCCCACTCCCTCTAACATGTAAACTCACTGAGCAGGGCCTCAATCCCTCTGTTACTGTCACTATACCCCACTCCCTCTAGAATGTAAACTCACTGAGCAGGCCCTCAATCCTTCTGTTACTGTGTCACTATACCCCACTCCCTCTAACATGTAAACTCACTGAGCAGGCCCTAAATCTCTCTGTTACTGTGTCACTATACCCCCACTCCCTCTAACATGTAAACTCACTGAGCAGGGCCCTCAATCCCTCTGTTACTGTCACTATACCCCACTCCCTCTAACATGTAAACTCACTGAGCAGGGCCTCAATCCCTCTGTTACTGTCACTATACCTCACTCCCTCTAACATGTAAACTCACTGAGCTGGGCCCTCAATCCCTCTGTTACTGTGTCACTATACCCCACTCCCTCTAACATGTAAACTCACTGAGCAGGCCCTCAGTCCCTCTGTTACTGTGTCACTATACCCCACTCCCTCTAACATGTAAGCTCACTGAGCAGGCCCTCAGTCCCTCTGTTACTGTGTCACTATACCCCACTCCCTCTAACATGTAAACTCACTGAGCAGGCCCTCAATCCCTCTGTTACTGTGTCACTATACCCCACTCCCTCTAACATGTAAACTCACTGAGTAGGCCCTCAATCCCTCTGTTACTGTATCACTATACCCCACTCCCTCTAACATGTAAACTCACTGAGCAGGGCCTCAATCCCTCTGTTACTGTGTCACTATACCCCACTCCCTCTAACATGTAAACTCACTGAGCAGGACCTCAATCCCTCTGTTACTGTCACTATACCCCACTCCCTCTAGCATGTAAACTCACTGAGCAGGCCCCTCAATCCCTCTGTTACTGTGTCACTATACCCCACTCCCTCTAACATGTAAACTCACTGAGCAGGGCCCCCAATCCCTCTGTTACTGTGTCACTATACACCACTCCCTCTAACATATAAACTCACTGAGCAGGCACTCAATCCCTCTGTTACTGTGTCACTATACCCCACTCCCTCTAACATGTAAACTCACCGAGCAGGCCCTCAATCCCTCTGTTACTGTGTCACTATAACCAACTCCCTCTAACATGTAAGCTCACTGAGCAGGCCCTCAATCCCTCTGTTACTGTGTCACTATACCCCACTCCCTCTAACATGTAAACTCACTGAGCAGGGCCCTCAATCCCTCTGTTACTATGTCACTATACCCCACTCCCTCTAGCATGTAAGCTCATTGAGCAGGGCCCTCAATCCCTCTGTTCCTGTGCGTCCAGCTCGTCCTGTTCTAACTACTTGTTTGCTAATTTACCAATTGTACAGAACTGCGGAACAGGTTGGTGCTTTATAAATCACAATAATTCACTGACGGACAGGTTTCACCAGCTTTACTGTTATTACTACATGAACCGTGACTGTGAGCTTGGTAAAGCCGGACCTTATTCACCTCTGTTATCAAATATCCCCATTCTATAATTGTACATGTTAGTGCCCCCTCACATGTGTTAGAGCCCCTTAATGCTCTGTGTCCTGCTATATTTAGCACTGTAGAGCAATTTAAGTGATATCCTGACCCTAGGCACATCCTCTCTGTACCCTGGGAGAGACCTGTGTCTATAGGATGCGGGGGCTGGGGGGCAGATTAAGGAACTGCTTTAGGATATAATCCTTCCTGTGGCCTCCAATCCCAGGCAGGGGTCATTTAGGGCCCTCTCACTAACATGCTGGGTTTTATAACCCCTTCCTTCCTGGAGGGGATGCCATTACTGAATGGGAGTCATTAGAAAGGTCTGTGTGAGTTCTTTAAATGTTTACAGATGACACAGAGGTGTGATTTAAAGGGGCAGTGCACTGAATCATCCTGATATCATTAGAGAATGTACCTTTAAAGGTTTGAGAAGTGGAAATATAATGCTAAGTAAAGGAAATTAGTTTTATGTGTTGCTGCCAAATAAAGTTGTTTTTGTTAGTTACAGTTAATACTGAGAACAAACATTTAAACATTTTTCTAGCAAGAAGCAACACACAAAGTTATATAAGAAAGAAAGAAATGTTTGATAATACAGGGGCCTATTTACTAAACAGTGACCGGACAGCCGAACGAAATCTGAATTGAGAAATTTAGACTCATTTTCACAAACATTTATTCAGCCTAAAATTCACAATTTAGAGATTATGTCACTAAAATCAGGGGGTGGGGGAGGAGGTTTTTTTTGGTTTTTTTTAGTAAATAAGCCCCGCAGGGTTGTTAACTAACGCACGATTCATGGTGAATTTTACATTTTTGGCCAGAGTAGCCAAACTGAGCACGGCTGACTTGGATTAAACTTTGAAATTCATCGTGAATTGCTGCCAGTCCATACTTTGGTGAATAACTGTGCGCCAGTTTTCTGTACTTCATTTTGGAAGACAATTGTCAACGACTCACAACTCCCTGTTTAGTTCAAATATCACAATAAGGTCCAAGCATCCAACCTCCACAGCTTATTGTATCATTTCAGCTCATTGAATCATTACAGCTTATTATTATTATTATATATTTATTATTATTTACTTAGCGCTGTACAATAGGTGGACTAACAGACATGTAATTGTAACCAGGCAACTGGACGTACAGGAACAGAGAGGTGGAGGGCCCTGCTTAATGAGCTTACATTCTTGTTGTATCATTACAGCTCATTGTATCATTACAGTTTATTGCATTATTACAGATTATTGTATCATTACAGCTTATTGTATCATTACAGCTTATTGCATTATTACAGATTATTGTATCATTACAGCCAATTGTATTGCTACAGTTTATTGTATCATTAGTGTGTTGTATCATTACAACTTATTATATTGTTACAATTTATTGTATCGTTATAGCTTATTGTATCGTTAGTTTGTTGTATAGTTACAGCTTATTGTATTGTTACAGCTAATTGTATCACTACCGATCATTGTATTTTGCAGCTTCTTATATGGCTTAGATTATTGTATCATTACAGTACATTTTTTTGTTACAGATTACTGTAGTGCTTATGGTGTAAAGATTCTTTGAGTTCACTTCCTCTGGTTTTCATCAAACGTTTTTAAAAGAGGTTAAAACGAAGCAGGGATTCTCTAAAATCCAAACACAGGTTTCTCTGCTGGAGACGTCAATGAAGAATTTCAGGTTCTCGTTATTGGTATAAATACACATAGTGCCTGTGTAAAGTCAGGTAAGGTGTTTTGCAGTGATGTTCAACATGCACAGGATCCGTCCAGGTAAATGGCCTGTCTCTTTAAGTCAACCTGTGAGTTTGAGAGTCGCAGAGATACGCTCTGTCATAAACCGACATCACTTGGGTTTCGAGGAAAGAAATATAGAGGCTGCAGTTTCGATGATCATTGTAAAATTAAAGCAAATTATATCTTTAGAGATATTAACTTTTATCTGAAATAAGAGCACTTGCCGCTCTATAAACCTCACTCTTTGTACAAAACTCTGATAAGACGTCTGTAACGGGCTTATCAGCCATTTTATCTCTTCGTGTGGCAGCATTTTCCATTGGATACAGCCATTCATTCTAAATAAAGCCCAGGATTATCTTTATATACTAAATGCTAAAAACATAGCTGTCCACACAGAGTTCAAGGCTCCCTAAAATCAGATGATAAATAAGTGGGTTTAGGAGCAACATATGGCTATAACGCCACACACAGTATCTTGCGCAAAATCTTACAATATAGGAACGGCATTGCCGGCAACAAATAATTCTTACAGAATCTTCAGAGCCAACAGCGCATGTTTGTATATAAATCTGTGTAGATATGTCATTCTGATGATACTTGTTAATATGATAATGTAGGGGTGTGTGTGTGTATACATACATGTAATCAGGACCTGGAAAATTCTACAACTCCGCTACAGTCACAGCTCCGCTATAGTACTCTAAATGTTGCCGTTCAGATAACAGTTTAACTGGTAATCAAAGTTATTCACTAAAACGTTAAGCACTGGCAATTCCAAGTTTAGTATTTTTGTCTAAATTAGCGTTTTTTGTTGTTGTGTTTTTATATTTTTGGCTGAAAATTTGAATTTCCCTTTGAAATCCTATAATTCACACTATAGTGAATAATAGTGTGATAACGCTGTGAATATTTAATTTACACCTATGTCCTGTCACGGCCACACTGTGCATTCTTTAGACTGTAAGCTCCTTTGAGCAAAACCTCTCTACCTTTGTTTCGGTGTGTCAAAACTTGTAACGTTTACTTATTGTACAGCGCTACTGAGAATGTTGGTGATTCATAAACATAAAACATATAATGTGGGTGTGCGCATAACAAGTTTTCCTAGGTATTGTGACTTGTCTGTCTTTTTATTGTCTTATTGATTAGTTAGGTCATGTCAAGGCATGAGATATTGATGGTTTAGACTGATCACATGACCAGTAAATGCTCAGGTCACGCTGTGCGCATGCTGTTATAATGTGTTAAATAATGACTTCATTGTACATCTCTGCTGCTGCCTATCATATGAGATAAAAGAGAGAATCGGATTCACAGAGAGCAAACAGTCACACATGTACATGCACATTCTATACACAGATACATTTACAAATGCACAAACATATTGTACACACACACACTGCATATACAATTACATTAATTCATGTACACATACTGCATGGACACTTACACTCACTGCATATACACTTACATTAATTTATACACACACTGCATGGACACTTACATAGAATATGCAATATTCTACACCAGGGGTAGGCAACCTACGGCACTAGTGCCATGCATGGCACTCAAGGTGTCTTTGCACGGCACTCAAGGATGCTAGAGCCAAACAGGCTCTGGCCTATCAGGAGTCCCAGTAAGACTTCAGATGTTTAAACTTCAGAAAATTGGTGAAGGACAATCCTCAATTTATGCATTGCAGCACGTAGAGGAAGTGATCTCGGATCTGTAGTAGAGCAGCCCGCAGTTGCTGTTGCAGCTCCTGTCCTTGACCTGTACCAGGCCAGCCTGGTTCCGACCTGAACCCAGGGAAGCCCCTCACACTGCTAGATATACACAGAAATGCACAATAACCCTCCCCTCATACAAATAATACGAACAGCCCACAAACAAACATACACACAATCCGCACAAACGTAACCCGCTAACAATCCACATACATGCACACAACCCCACATGCAGCCTCTCACATGCAATACACCAAACGACACCCACACACTACCAAACACACAATGTGACATATCCATCCACACACAATTCCACAAGCAACCCCCATACACAGCCCACATTCATACGTATCATACACGACACCATAAACTACTAATGAACATATAGAATATAATAGCTCCTATACGCACAAATACAACGATACAAAGCAATCACGGTAAAAATAACACAAGCAGAATACGGCAGCATACACACCTCAATTTAAAAAAAATAGGACCGGCACGCTACGGGACATCACAGTCCTATATTGGCCTATATTGGCACAGTGCTGTTAAAAGGTTGCCTACACACTGCATATACACTCACACACACTGCATGGACACTTACATTAATTTATACACACACTGCATATATACCTACTCTCACACACATTATATATACACTTACATCAATTTATACACACACTGATATATATTGACACCTAGCGGCGCTCGTTGCAGGCCGTGATGGGATTTTCCGGCGATATCCTGATTTTCAGGTAATTTGGCCGTTAAATATCGATGAAATCCCCGCTCGGACCAGCCCAAGACACAGCACCCACCGACCTTTACCCAACATTGGCAATGTATCTGCAGTTAGCGGAGATGCCGTTTCTTGGAGTTGGTTGAAGCAGGTTACATATGTAATGCGTTTAATGTAACGTGGCGTGTAACGTGTTCGATAAATACAATTGTTGGCATCGATTCTACAAACACTCTGCAAATACTTCTCTTACTTTGGATTAACAGTAAGATCCGTGTAACGATGTGTAGACACAAGGTTTGCTTATTTCAGCAATGCTCGGGAAATAAATGGTAGCAGTATACAGTCTAAATCAGTGAGGGTTATCCTCAACCCACCAAGACTAAACTTCAGCTCCCAAAATACTCAGATTTAGCAATGATAGCCTGTGTTCCTACCCACCCTCCCCCCAATATTCAGGACGTCACAGCGGCAAAGAACATAACACTATGGGGCAGACCTGCAGTTTGATCCCTAATTAATGAATTGTAGAGGAATAGAATTTAGATTATAATAAAAGCCCATGTAATGTCGCAGCTCAGCTATTGTGGAATACATTTTGCCAGCTCTCGGCTGCTCTGTGTTTACCAAGTACGCCCAAAACGGCAATGCCCGGCTAGATTAACAAGCTGAAGGTGGAAATATGGAAACCAGCTTTTAACCAAAGAGGAAACGCTGGCTTCGAATATTATCCTGTTTAAAATATGCTATTTCCCTACGGCGTGTGTGCAGCCTTTCCTTGTCGGTGATTTTATGTGCCAGTAAATATTATGCAATGGGATGTCCCAATTCCTTCACTCCCCAGGGCAGACATAAACTGGCACAGAAGGTGTTGGAGGGATTTAAGGATGGGCAAGGATCTGCGTCAGAGTACCTTCTACGTGACATTCCTAATACCAGCACAGAGCACATAGATACAACTCCAGTTCTATCTACACACACTCCCACTGCGCCCCTCATCCTGGCATACGGGGGTCCTCACAATTATTTATAATCATTTATACGCACCATACAAACGTGGAAATGACAAAGGGAAGTAACCCCTTCCACTGGGTGTGAATGTGCGATATAGTAAGAGTAAGATGGAAAGAAATTTGTTGGTGTTAAACGGGAAACAGATCTGAACTTATCAGAATATGGAGATTAGAATCGTCATGGAGTAAAACTCCCAAATTCTGCCATGATGATCGTTAAGGAACAGTGTACTCACACCCAGGCACTCCATATAGAGAAATTAATATGAACACACCGCTCTGTATAATAATACTGAGTATCTATACACTGATAATGAACACACCGCTCTGTATAATGATACTGAGTATCTATACACTGATAATGAACACACCGCTCTGTATAATGATACTGAGTATCTATACGCTGATAATGAAACACACCGCTCTGTATATTGATACTGAGTATCTATACACTGATAATGAACACACGCTCTGTATAATAATACTGAGTATCTATACGCTGATAATGAACACACCGCTCTGTATAATGATACTGAGTATCTATACACTGATAATGAACACACCGCTCTGTATAATGATACTGAGTATCTATACGCTGATAATGAACACACCGCTCTGTATAATGATACTGAGTATCTATACGCTGATAATGAACACACCGCTCTGTATAATGATACTGAGTATCTATACGCTGATAATGAACACACCCTCTGTATAATGATACTGAGTATCTATACGCTGATAATGAACACAGCTCTGTATAATGATACTGAGTATCTATACGCTGATAATGAACACAGCGCTCTGTATAATAATACTGAGTATCTATACACTGATAATGAACACAGCGCTCTGTATAATGAAGTATCTATACGCTGATAATGAACACAGCTCTGTATAATGATACTGAGTATCTATACACTGATAATGAACACGTCGCTCTGTATAATGATTCTGAGTATCTATACACTGATAATGAACACACCGCTCTGTATAATGATACTGAGTATCTATACACTGATAATATACACAGCGCTCTGTATAATGATACTGAGTATCTATACACTGATAATGAACACACCGCTCTGTATAATGATACTGAGTATCTATACACTGATAATGAACACACCGCTCTGTATAATGATTCTGAGTATCTATACACTGATACTGAACACAGCGCTCTGTATAATGATACTGAGTATCTATACACTGATAATGAACACAGTGCTCTGTATAATAATACTGTGTATCTATACACTGATAATGAACACGCCGCTCTGTATAATGATACTGAGTATCTATACACTGATACTGAACACAGCGCTCTGTATAATGATACTGAGTATCTTTACACTGATAATGAACACAGTGCTCTGTATCATAATACTGAGTATCTATACACTGATGATAAATGTGCTGCACTATATAATAATACTGAGTATCTATACACTGATAATGAGCACGCCGCTCTGTATAATGATACAGAGTATCTATACACTGATAATGAACACACCGCTCCGTATAATGATACTGAGTATCTATACACTGATAATGAACACGCCGCTCTGTATAATAATACTGAGTATCTACACGCTGATAATGAACACACCGCTCTGTATAATAATACTGAGTATCTATACACTAATAATGAACACACCGCTCTGTATAATAATACTGAGTATCTTTACACTGATAATGAACACAGCGCTCTGTATAATAATACTGAGTATCTATACACTGATAATGAACACAGCGCTCTGTATAATAATACTGAGTATCTATACACTGATAATGAACACACCGCTCTGTATAATAATACTGAGTATCTATACGCTGATAATGAACACAGTGCTCTGTATAATGATACTGAGTATCTATACACTGATAATGAACACACCGCTCTGTATAATAATACTGAGTATCTATACACTGATAATGAACACACCGCTCTGTATAATAATACTGAGTATCTATACACTGATAATGAACACAGCGCTCTGTATAATGATACTGAGTATCTATACACCGATAATGAACACACTGCTCTGTATAATGATACTGAGTATCTATACTCTGATAATGAACACACCTCTCTGTATAATAATACTGAGTATCTATACACTGATAATGAACACACCGCTCTGTATAATGATACTGAGTATCTATACACTGATAATGAACACACCGCTCTGTATAATGATACTGAGTATCTATACACTGATAATGAACACGCAGCTCTGTATAATGATACTGAGTATCTATACACTGATAATGAACACACCGCTCTGTATAATGATACTGAGTATCTATACACTGATAATGAACACACCGCTCTGTATAATGATACTGAGTATCTATACACTGATACTGAACACACAGCTCTGTATAATGATACTGAGTATCTATACACTGATAATGAACACACCGCTCTGTATAATAATACTGAGTATCTATACACTGATAATGAACACACCGCTCTGTATAATGATACTGAGTATCTATACACTGATACTGAACACAGCGCTGAGTATCTGATATAATGATACTGAGTATCTTTACACTGATAATGAACACAGTGCTCTGTATCATAATACTGAGTATCTATACACTGATGATAAATGTGCTGCACTATATAATAATACTGAGTATCTATACACTGATAATGAGCACGCCGCTCTGTATAATGATACAGAGTATCTATACACTGATAATGAACACACCGCTCCGTATAATGATACTGAGTATCTATACACTGATAATGAACACACCGCTCTGTATAATGATACTGAGTATCTATACACTGATAATGAACACACCGCTCTGTATAATGATACGAGTATCATACACTGATATATAATGATACTGAGTATCTATACACTGATAATGAACACAGCCGCTCTGTATAATGATACTGAGTATCTATACACTGATAATGAACACAGCGCTCTGTATAATAATACTGAGTATCTATATACTGATAATGAACACACCGCTCTGTATAATGATACTGAGTATCTATACACTGATAATGAACACAGCGCTCTGTATAATGATACTGAGTATCTATACGCTGATAATGAACACACCGCTCTGCTCTGATATAATATATACTGAGTATCTATACCTGATAATGAACACACCGCTCTGTATAATGATACTGAGTATCTATACACTGATAATGAACACACCGCTCTGTATAATGATACTGAGTATCTATACACTGATAATGAACACAGCGCTCTGTATAATAATACTGAGTATCTATACACTGATAATGAACACACCGCTCTGTATAATAATACTAAGTATCTATACACTGATAATGAACAGACCGCTCTGTATAATGATACTGAGTATTTATACGCTGATAATGAACACAGCGCTCTGTATAATGATACTGAGTATCTATACACTGATAATGAACACAGCGCTCTGTATAATGATACTGAGTATCTATACACTGATAATGAACACACCGCTCTGTATAATGATACTGAGTATCTATACACGGATGATAAATGTGCTGCACTATATAATAATACTGAGTATCTATAGTCTTACAACTAACATGCTGCACTATAGGACTTTGTACGTTTCTTTGAAGCCGGTCTCCAGACTCAGTGAGTGTCTTTTGTTGCAGATTTACAAACTGCACGTTCAGTGTTTCCTGGACGCAATATGATTTTGGAGGGTAGGGGGTGTATTTAGTTGTAAAACTCCAACAAATTGTGCAACTCTTTTTACAAGGAAAAGGTGGTATTTTAACACAAGATAGTCTTACAGGCAAAAACAATCTCATTACATTGTAAGGTCTGTGCAGAGAAGCTTACACTCTAACGCAGCTTTGGTAAGCACATTGAGTGAATGACACTTAGATCTACGTACCAGTCACACCCATAGCAAATCTTCAAATATGTGGGATCTGCATTTTCCATTGCATTATAAAGCAGATATTATGTCAATCCCAAAAAAAAGTAAAATATCCCATGATATAAATCCAGGTTTGTGAAGAAAATCCAAAATCAGGTTTATTCCCTTAATGTGTGTCTCTTGCTGGATTAGATCCAGGGTTGGGGTGCAGGAGCTGCATAAAGCTGGCTGTCCAGGCAGAGTTTGGAATGAGTAGATGGGACAGACAGATGAAGTTAATGTTTCACCCTGCAAGTGTACAGGGAGCAGCGATTGGAGCAGCAATCCATATATCCCTGGGACGGAGGAGGAAGAGGGGATTTCCTCAGGAAAGAGAAGGAGGCTGAAGGATAGGATACTGAAGGAAGGAGACGATGCAGATCGAATCACGTCAGCGCCAAACTGTACTTCTAAAATAAACAAACGGCATGGATGTATAGATGGATAATCACATAGAGAGAGATAGAGAAAGAGAGAGAGATAGATAGATATATTTATACATGGATGGATGGATAATCATAGATAGAGCGATAGATACATACATTTATACATGGATGAAGGAATGGATGGATACCTCATTCAGCGTATTGACCTATATGCTAAGTACAGGGGAGGGAGGATAACTTGTGACCTGGGGACACAAAAATATTTAGAGGCCCAAAATGCAATTTTACCAGCCCATCCGTTAACATCAGTGATAGACACAAGTACCAGATGTGTTGATAGACCATACAAGATAATTGAATAGAAAGAATTAAAGCTATATATGTGGGGGTTTAGATATGAAAAGTGGTAAGCGAGCAGTCAGCGGAACAAATGCCCACTTGGCCATCATTGATCAATAAGGGAGATCTCACTAACCAGATGAGCATTCAGTAAAAAGAGGTCTGAAGGGTTTTCCAGCAAGGGAATGTAATTAATGCATTAAATACATTAACATTGTATATCATGCCAATGAAAACTAGATACATAAACTTGATATATCATGCCAATGAGTCATATGTGCCTCTAAAAAGCCTTCCAGTGTCCTCTATGCCCCTAAACTCCTTGCTAGTGCCATATTTTTGTCCCAATGCCTCTGTGCCATCATTCTGCCTCCAGCCTCTTTGTGCCATTGCTCTGACCCCAACAGCTCTGTACCATCTCTCTGCTACCAGAAACTTGGTATGGCACTCTGCACTTACCCCTGTACCCAGACGGCATCCCCTACACTTACCCCAGGACCCAGATGGCATCCACTCCCAGAGGACATCCCCTGCACTTACTCCAGGACCCAGGTGGCATGCACTCCCAGAGGACATCCCCTGCACTTACCCCAGGACTCATATGACATCTCCTGCACTTACCCCAGGACCCAGATGACATCTCCTGCACTTACCACAGGACCCAGATGGAATCCCCTGCACTTACCACAGGACCCAGATGGCATCCCCTGCACTTACCACAGGACCCAGATGGCATCCCCTGCACTTACCACAGGACCCAGATGGCATCCCCTGCACTTACCACAGGACCCAGATGAAATCCCCTGCACTTACCACAGGACCCAGATGAAATCCCTTTCACTTACCACAGGACCAAGATGGCAACCCTGCACTTACCACAGGACCTAGATGGCATCCCCTGTACTTACCACAGGACCCAGATGACATCCCCTGCACTTACCACAGGACCCAGATGAAATCCCTTTCACTTACCACAGGACCCAAGTGGCATCCCCTGCACTTACCACAGGACCCAGATGGCATCCCCTGCACTTACCACAGGACCCAGATGAAATCCCTTTCACTTACCACAGGACCAAGATGGCAACCCTGCACTTACCACAGTACCCAGATGAAATCCCTTTCACTTACTACAGGACCCAGATGGCATCCCCTGCACTTACCACAGGACCCAGATGACATCCCCTGCACTTACCACAGGACCCAGATGGCATCACCTGTGTGCTGGACCATGTCATTATATTATAGACTTGTTTATGTTCCAAAAAATCCCAAGTGAATAAAATGGCGCAGGCTCACTTTAAGAGGTGCAATAAATATTAAAGTGTCACTAATCTCTGCATGCAGCAACCACTTTAAACCCCGGTAAAAAAAGCTTCCTGTGCAGCGGAGACGGGGCTAAACTGATGGCGGGAGCGGAGCTAAAAGTGCCGGGTAACTACTGCAGGGGAAGCAGGAAGGAGTACCTGCTTCCCCAACAACCAGTCTCCAGGAGCTGCACTGCCTCCATTCCTCCATAATGAACAGAGGTAACTATGTGTTTGTCTGTGTAACAGAGCTTCCTGTACCCGGTTGGGTACCTCCGCCGACGGATGCTCCTAGTGCTCAACAAGGACTCCAAGCACTCCACCAGACACCATCAGCACCGCAGTCCCCACGTCCAGCGTTACAGCCAACGGTCTGTCTCTCTTTATGGAGTACAAAAGTACTTACAATACATGGATGGAGTCTTTCTCTGTGTGTGTGGATGTCTTCCTATGTGTGTATGGCTGTCTGCCTCTGTGTGTGTGTGTGTGTGTGTGTGGCTGTCTGCCTGTGTGTATTTGTGTGGCTGTCTGTATGTGTGTGTAAGACTGTATGTGTGGCTGTGTGTGTGGGGGGGGGGCATCTGCCTGTAATTGTGTGTGAGTGTGTTTATCTGCCTGTAACTGTGTATGTGTGTTACTGCCTGTACCTCTGTGTTTCTGCCTGATCCTGTCTATATGACTATCTGCCTGCGGCTGTGTGCATGTGGTGGATTTTACGTTGTATATGTATAACTGTGTGCATCTTACTGTGGGAATGTGTGCACTTAACTCTGCAAAAATATACACCTGCATTCACACATAGGCTTAATACCCATCACAGACAGTCAATAAACCCAGCACAAATATCACCTACAACCAATACACGCATATCACACACAGTTAATACACCCATTACAAATATCACACACAGCCAACACATGGCATGCATATCACACACAGTCATCACACCTATCACATACACAGACAAGACAAACATTACCCCGTATTATAGTGAGATGTATTACAGTGGAGCTATGATATATAAAATGCACATTACTTTTTTATAGTTTTATAGTTAGGGAGCTCGGTGATACACTAATAGACACATTACTTAGATTTGTATCGTTGTGTAGTGTATGATCTTTGTGACAAACTCCCCTTTTTAAGGGAGATTGCCATACGTTTTTGGAGGGGCCTGCTCGCCAGCCTCCTGCCCTCCTGTGACTATGGCTCCTTTAATTTACTGTGATTAAGAGTACTATTTGTGCATATTGGGACTTAGCACAATGCCCCTTTAAACTTTCGAAGTGGAACTTGGAACTACTGAACAGCCGGACCACACACAAGTGGAGTGTGCAGCCAATTTACCTCCCAGGCTGGGAGTTAACCGCAACCAAATTGACTTACGGCTGGATGGTCGCCGTTCGTATAGTCGAACACGTGGTGGCGGCCATCTTGTTTAGTCGAACACGTACAGTGGTGTTTGGTCGTCGAGTTCATGGTACTCAAATCGGACACGCGACGGTATGAACACCGCTGGACTTTATCTTCTCCGGAGCTTCGACTGAAGTTGAACGGTGTTCGACAGTTTGAACGCCACTTTAACATTGGCTATTTGGA